GACAATTCAATGTTGGACTTCACAGAGTTGCTGTAAAATAAAATAATAAAAAGTCGTTCAGCTGTAGCACCCTTTCGGTGCTTAACTGCCATGCCACCAGAAGGAAGCACGAGGGCTGAGATACTGCCAGGTTGCCCAAGGCTAGACAGGGGAAGTCCAGAGGTAGAGGTCGGGTTCGAACCACGGACCTCCCGGTCAGTAAATTCGGGCTCTTACCAGTTGGATCTTCTCGCCATCATCTTGCTGTAAGACGCGGTGGAAAATGGGAACAGGGGATGGAAGGGGCCCAAGCGCTAGCGTCTATTAATCCCAGTTGGTTTGGTCATTGAATACCATCATCCACGATTCCGTCTTTGGCTAGATGTCCAACCCTCTGAATCCACACATCTTTTCAGTGGACAAGGACACTCATTTTCATTTGATGTCGGATGGTACGTCGATGCGCCGATTAGTTTATCGCCCGTCACAGCTCAATTCAAGATAGCATGTGCTCGGATGAATCTGTCATCTACACTAAGAGATGTGCATAAGCAATGAACGATAGATATGCGCATGTTTCCGGAAGAGGCGCTGGAAACATCCAAACACCACGCCGATCGGACAGATGTCGCCAATTGCCTATGGACCAAAAAAGGTGTGCTCTGATTGGTAAAAAAGAGACCAATCAGAACCGACTATTTTTCACCCGGTGCTTTTCAACTAGTTCCGAGGATTCTACATTGAACTCGGACAAAATTTCATTATCATTGTATCATTACAAATTTGGTAATGGCCTTTTGTCTCCATTAAAGGCTGCCTCAGGCTAGCGTGCATCCTAAAAACTCACAGTAGTTGGAACAGTAAGCACGGACCAAAATTAGAGTTGAAACTCACGACAACATGGGAGCGTTTGGCGTCTTCACAGGCTTTTGTGATATATTTAGTTCCTCTCCTTTCTTGTTCGAAGCTTAACATGAGCCTATCACTCCAGAAGAGCATAGGCACTTTTGAGATATGGAACTTGGAATGTATCCAAATTGGCTCGCCATACGCGATATAGTCTAGCGTTGCGACCCAGGTTATCATGTGCATTCACGTTATGCCACATAATCGTACTTGTCCACTTAAGATCCACTCACTATATTGCAGTGCAATATGGCCATCAGCGTTGCTGAACGTGAAAACCATATATGCACTGGTCATTCAGCCCAGTCGGGAGGTGCAGACACCTTGGCTAGTTCCGCCGTTGAACAGGGCCTCAAACTATGCATTACCGAGGTTTGCCGCTTCTTAGCACTCACTCAGTGAAACACCCATAGGCATCATCTTCCAATTGACGATGTGCTCACCCATTCTGTTCGATAGTAGTTCGAATATTCGTTTTGGAAAATCGATCAGCACAGGTTGCACACTCAACAGCACATCGTATGTGTATCTGGCTGGGTTGGAAACGAGAGTGGAATAAGGTGTTATGCACGATTCCACAATCTCTTTAGAGGAGGCTCTTGACCAGGGGCGCCGGCCGAGGTACGCCACCATCTCTGTGATCAGAACACTCAGAAAACCATGAAAAGGCCTTTTGAAACGAGCCGTTAAAAACCTCCCTGCCTCAAGAATCTACCTCTATAAGCGCGTTCATTCACCCTTTGCAGACTCTTCGGAAGAGGACCAAAAGGTCTTTAGTGGCGCGCGTATTGTTAAAAAGCGGTCATTTACACACACATATATATGCATAAGGATTGACTTCAAATTCTTTACCTGGATCCAACTTTCGGTTTCCAGATGAGAGATGTTCTCATTCTTACGGACACTGAATCTATTCCGGGGGAACTACCATAGATCAGCAGTATTGATCTTAGCTAGCCCAATTACTCTCTACATCAAAGCAACAGTTTCCTGGTAGTTGGCACGTCGATGAAGCATGGCTAAATGCAAAAGGAGCTAGGCTAGTGACATTCAATGCTGTCTGTACAATCAATCAGTCAATCAACCAACCAATCAATCAATCAGTCAATCCATCAATCAATCAACTGAAACACCCTTTCGGTGTCTAGCTGCCATGCCACCCAAAGGGAGCACGAGGGCTGGAATACTGCCAGGTTGCCCAACTCCTGAGAGAAGTCGTGAGGCAGAGATCGGTTTCGAACCACGGACCTTCCGGTCAGCAAATCGATGCTTTAACCACTAAGCATCTGGCACGCCATGCTTTCTGTCTAGATATCTATCTAGCTATCTACCCCACCTCCTCGAATCAGCGGCGAACGAAACTGTGGAGCCACTGCACGGCAAGTACACGGTTTTTATAGTTGGTGATGGCTGCTATAGTCCGCGTGGGCCAGCGCCTAGCCGTCAATCGCCTAACAAAAAGGTCCAGGTGAATTTAACATGAGTCCTCGTCAACATGGATTCCGACACCTCACAGACCTAAGCGGAGGAGCTTGGAAAAACTGACAACATCGGCGTCGAATTTACTGATCGTCGGCTGGTCTTACTGGCCTGCAGGCAGGTCGTGGGTTCACCAAAGTGAGTTTGAACATAAAAAGTGGATAACGGGTCATTTAGTCATATGAATGGGACTGCCAAGGAGGTGGACACACTAGTTAGGATAAGTCATTCAGAAGACCGCTCACGAGTATTAAGGATGAAACCGATTCTTCCAGGTCGTTTGAAGTGCGGTTTATGGCGAAATACACTCATTTTCAGATCAAGTTGGTGATAACAGGAGACTCAGCAGATACCCAGCTAAATTGCTCGTGTACGATGTTCTTCCACAACTGGATGTGGAGCACAAAAGCCAGCTCAAGTTTCCGTTCGTACCATATTCCAGAGATAAGAGTATATTTTCCTGATGCAACACACTACTCATAACGCCAATGAATGCATTGAACCACTTTCGTACAATCTTGTGTTCAAGTAGAACGCAAGGTTTACGAAAACTCGGTGAGTTCGCCTTCTTGATGAGCCACAGGAGGGATGAAGTGTTTTCAGCAACCTTATGAGTAGTGTGTTCCGTTGAATGTAGTTTAAAAGCGCGCTCAGCTGTAGCGCCCTTCCAGTGCCTAACTGCCATGCCACCCGAAGAAGGCACGAGGGCTGGGATACTGCCAGGTTGATCAGACCTAAACAGGCGATGTCGAGATGCAGAGGTTGGGTTCGAATCACGAACCTTCCGGTCGGTAGTTTCGCGCTCTAACCACTTGGGCCATCTCGCCACAGTTTACCTTTAACCTAACTCGCAAGCCATGTAGAAATCGATATATAAGGTAGACAATACAAAACCACGGGGGCAGCCTTTACAAAAACAATAATGACGGGTGCGAATGTTACCTTTCTCTTCCATCGAGGTGATGCGCATTGCCGAATTCATTTGGCGCGCAGCTTCTGCAGCCACTGCACTTTTTGAGAGCCCGATGTGTTTCGAATGGAATAAAAATTGCCTATTAAGGTTAGATTTTTCGATGTGGTCCGGATCGGTGATGAGAAGTAGAGGGCGAGGATCTGCCTGCCGCGATGACACATTGACATTTGCTCGCGAAGTTGAACTTGGATCGGAGGCGGTTTGGACTTGTGTTTCAACGCCGGATGGCTAAAAGAGACGAATAGAAGAAAAATCGACAGTAGGAAGGAGTATACGGAAAAACACGAATGACGGGGGGTAATGGAATGACAACTTTCCGAGATAGGTGCCATAGAAAATCAGCTGAGTAATTTCGGACTTTGGGGGCGACTTACTCTACTTTGTGAGATCCATTCAACTCCAGCAGAGGTGAAATGATCGCTTTCGTTGAAATACATGACCAAATGCTCAAAACACGACTACACTTCACCGACAACTGCTCATAAGATTGCTGAAAACTCTCACGAATAGTTTCGCCCTTCTTGGGGCTCATCAGGTAGGCGTAGTCCCCGAGTTTCTGTCCTACGGAATTCGCAAACAGACATATACGGTCCGAACTTTTGTATGTATCAACTTCAAAAGGATACATGGATCTGGTGAGGTCAAATATGATGAATACTCGGTGTCATCACCCTATCGGAGTGATGCATGTAACCAGTATTCTTTGAACGGCATCAAACGAAATTCGCTCTCCCTGGGATGATTCACAATAGCCAGACACCCCAAATCACGAGCATATCGCATGCCGATCATCGGATTTGGCAAACGCACCAATACGAAATGATCTGACATGAATACGTCCAACTTATGGTCCACACGCTAAAGCGAAGCGACCAATTAATTTACATTGACGTGTTTAGGTCACTGACCCTTTCGAAGCATAGATTTTTCGATCGCTTGGCCGAAAGAAAGTACCGGATAAACAGCTGCGTAGTTTGGTTATACCAGTTTCCGTGCCAGGTACCTGAGAGAAGTGAGGTGAACGGTTGAAGACTGACTAGCAGCGCGAGAGGCTGTTCAGAGCTGCAACTGACGAAGAGCTGATTGTACATCCGAGAGCACTCCCTGGTTTGCGCCAATCCAATGCTATGTGTTCACTTTTGCATGGAACCTACAGCTACCCCAAGGGCTATTCAAAATACGGAATGCATCGTTCATCAAAATTATTGACTAAAATACACCAGGACCACGTGATGGTGCTCAACTGACATGAATGCAACTCAGAGTTGAAGCTGTGCCCGTAGGGCATACCTTTCAAAGCAAGTTACCTCTTAAAAATGACGGGATGAGTGGCTAGCAGTGACTAGTGTCCATTAGTCAACGTCATGTGGGGGAGTGCATCCGCAAAGGTTCACAAAGTCATGCTGTGTGAAACGGGTTGGGTAAATGGTTAGATCGGTCAGTGGGGCGAGGAAGTTGGATAGTTGGCGGCGGCCGCGGCGGGGACATTGTCAGACACGGCCCATTCGCGCTCCCAATGGCGCTCGTGCATCCAAGCTATTGCCTTCAATGCATAAGAAAAATCGTTCAGCTGTAGCACCCTTTCGGTGCCTAGCTGCCATGCTTCACGAAGGAGGCACGAGGGCTGGGATACTGCCAGGTCGCCCAAGCCTAGACAGGGGAAGTCGAGTGGCAGAGGTCGGATTCGAACCACGGGCCTTGCGGTCAGTAAATTCACGGCTCTTACCATTGGTCCATTTCGCTCCCCTTCAGTGCATAACGCCCTCCCCACTTGGAAGTCCAAATTTATCAGTTCCCACCTCCAAGGCGCAGCTACCTAATTCACATCCCCAAATCATCGGTGGACGAAACTGTGGCAGCTAAAACCACTGTTTTACCAGTACGCGGTTCTTACAGCTGATAATGATGAAAGCGACGGTTGTAGTTTTGTTCGTACGATTGAACGAAGAGACTAACAGTAGGGACAAATTTTTCCACATGCTTTACTTGAGGTAAGCTAGTTAACCAATCCTCGAAAAGTACTGCGTCGCTAACATTGAATGTTTGGCCTTTTGTTGCAATACCGATGACCTTGACGAGTGGACTGATGTGAACTAAATTAGAGCACGGTAAAGAAGCAACATAAACCCGTTAAGTGATCAGAAATGAGTGATGCTGGCGTCAGATGTTGAATGGATGATCGATCTTTAACTCCGCGCCGATCACTTCATACCGGCGTGTGCCGAAGGTTGATGTATGGAGAGGGTGAAAGACCATAAAACTGAATTATCAAATTCATGAAGTTGATCGACGAAAGATCTGGTCCAGCTGTAGCGCACTTTTGGTACCCAGCTGCCATGCCGCTCCCGGAAAGAAGCAAAAGATACTGGCAGGTTGCCCAAGCCTAGACAGGAAGAGTAGAAACGCACAGGTCGGAGGTGAACCACGGACCTCCCGGTCAGTAAGTTCGCCTCTTAACACCTCCTAGCAACTGGGGTCATCTCAGGTCGAGACCTAGGCAAAACAAGACGAAGCTCTGGTCATCTTGAGAAGACTGCAGGCAAGAGAAGCTTTCATATAGTCAACACTGATGGTCTGTTGTGGACTTCCACCTCCGTTCTTCCGTAACAACAGAATTCATCAAATTTGCCGGTGCACTTCTTGATCGCTTGTGAATCCATTCTCAGGGCTTTGGAAATCCGCAGTTCGACTTCCTAAAGCTCCCACCTAGCTCGAAAACACTGCGGCAAGAAAGGGGGAAAATAAGCCAATTAGTCCATGAACAGCAGACCTTCTCTACTAGTTAGTCCCTGTTCACTGCATTCACGCCGCGAAACGGTTCCCAACACAACTGACGAAGTGAACGCGGGTGTTCTAGAAATGATGATTCCTAGGAATTGGCGAAACCCTCGTTTCATACGAACAACAGCGAGCTGATGAAGACAGATTCGGTGAACTGGATGGATCTGGCGGTCCCGACGGTGGTTCTGCCAGGCGGTTGTTCATCATAATCTTGTTGTCTGGCAGGTTGGAAGTGAATGGGTATTGACTGGAGATGAATATTTGAACAAACGCCGCAATTCACTGAAGACAGTGAGGGCATAGAAAAGTCCATATTACACCACGTACACAGTCCTACCTCACAAAGTCGTTCATTTCTCCGGAGTTGCTACGAGACCCTCCGGCAAGCAACGTGACCTGTGTTGGCCCAGCAATGAGGGCGAAAAATATGCAAGATGTCTTCTCAGTCCCGAAGATCTCGTACACATTGAGTGCTACAATGGCTTCGCTTTATCGGAAATCGGGAGCCATGACTCTCAAGTCAATATCACCTGCTTCTTTGAAACACATTTTCCAAGTTTCACCAGACGATACATCAAGCTTTCGGGCCTAGAAACATCATTATTAGTGCACTGCAGCGCTCGTACCGGGGATTCGGGCCTTAAAGGAATGACGTTCGCACGGAGCAATCATAGCCGATGGGCTCCGATCGCTTTGGAAGCGATATCATGAAGGATTCGAACAGTGCTGTTTAGTGGACCGCCAATCAACCTGACCATCATCATCTTCAGCTATAAAACCGCGGACTTGTTGTACAGCAGTTATGGCTGCCCCAGTTTCGCTCCCCCGGTGATCTGGGAAGGTAGGGGTAGCAGAGGGGAGTCAAGCAGACCACACCAAGCATCTTACACCAAACGGTTGTTCATTTCACTTTCACCTACTCGGAACACATTTCCCAGATTTGTTTCATTCCAAAATTCTGAGAGGGGGTGCGTGAATCGCATCCAAATGTACACAACTGAGAACCGCGGGAGAGTAGGATGGTGGATGAACGTCATGAAGCTGATAAGGGACACAAAATGAAAAGACATCGAAACCACGGTCCAAAACTGGCACATTCCTAAGGGAATCGAAAAACAACGAAGGGCCTGGTCCCTACAAATTTAGCGCCATCACGTTACGATGCATAAACCCTTCATCAACTGGGAAAAACAACGCTATTTCTGGGGGAGAGATGGATGAACAAACGCAGCATCGCACAGAATGCCATCCGATGTGGCGAACTAAAAGCGATTCTATCAATCTTCCGGGTGAATTACACGAGATTTTAGTTCATAATTGATGGACAGGGCTGATTAGCATTCATGCAACACAGAATCCTGCCGCAATGGGAAAACGTTGGCATCAGACACTGGGGGAAAAAACAGAATTTGGACAGACTACTGGCTGACAATGTCAAACGTACCGGGAAAGATTTGGTGGATTCCGCCAGGGTCTGACTCGCATGAGAAGTTGCGCCTAGATGAGAAGGACACGTGAAAAAATGAAGAGAAAACAAACGGATCGGCTCAGTTTCAAACAGACAAAAACCCGAGTGGAAAATACGTGGGATCTTTCGTCCGCCGGGGGGGAGAGGGAAAACACCGCTCTTGAATTCAAAGCCGACAGCTACTTATCATAGCCAAAGAGAACTTGTTGTAACAATAAGAAATTGGTAGAAATGTACCGAAATGTCGCGACATTTCGATCCGGCTAAGTGTGACCTGCGTTGTCATAGCAACATGTAACAATCGTTCCCACCCTCCTTTTTCAAAATCACTATGAATGGATGAACACGAAACCGAAGTGAACACGTTTGGAGCGACAGCAAATTCGGTCGTCTCGTTGGAGACTTTTCTTGTGAAACGGGAAAAGATTTGCTTCCTCAAGACGTGTGGAAGTCAAACAAGCATAAGAAAATGGATCTCGTACAAGTGAGGAGATGGGCTCATTCCCAGTTCCACCTCTACCTGACCTTCTCGCGTGCTCTCTTCTCAAATGATGATTGGTGTTGGTTCTTGGGCCACAACTGACACTATGGTAACAGAAAAACAGTAGGCCGACAGATGATATTGAGTTAACTCAGCGGGATCGTCTAGGATTCATCAAGTCGCGTTTGCTGAAGAACGTCTGGATCACACTATGACAGATTACGGATAAGTAACATTACTTCCTAGAGAAATACACTCATTTCCAAACCAGTTTGGTTTTGCGGGAGACTCACCTGGAACCCATTTGAGTCTCTCGTTTCAGCGACCTTATGGGTTGTGTATTACGTCCAAACATACCTTAAACATAAACTTGACTTTTTTACCGGGAGGTGGAAGATCATTTCAGGAAGGTAGCTGAACAATTATTTGTTTTACCTTTCCTCTTCTTCATCACACACACGCACCCCTAACACAAATGGTTATGAACTACTAACATCCCATGAAAGTGGATCGCACAAGACGAAACACACTACTAATAAGGTTGCTGAAAATTCTAGGGGACAGCCCACGACCGGTTTCGCCCTTCTTGGGGCTCATCAGTTCCCGAGTTCCCCTCAACCTTACGCTCTATGTGAACTCAAATTGCATGAAGTCAGCGAAATACACTCACCTGTGCACCAATTTGGTTTTCATGGGAGGCCCGGCTTAATCTCTCGCTTGTGATATTCAACCAAGGATTACTGGTTTCAAAATTATCGGCAAATTCTAGAATAGAGGTGAAATGCCTGAGGGAAAAACAGCTTTGTAACTTCATGACTTTTTGCCCAGAATGGCGTTTTTCGATGAATAGTGTAGGAATTGCATCGAAACTTGGTTGCGGGTAAGCTAATCCCTCTGAGGACAGGAGATGCTCCAAGGACTTACCGACATTTCCACAGACCTGGGAACCGGAATAGGAGTAAACAATAACGTGTTCTATAGAGGAAAATGTCGGTAGCTCAGGTAGCGTAGATGGTGGTCGTTGGCTTGTTCGCTGAGCTAGGCAAATTGATTGCGAACCTTTCATCGCCAATCGAGGTGACATCATCAGTGCGTTATTGGGGAGCGTAGTGGTGCGTAGCGGTGGGTTAGTGGCTGTGCGTTGAACAGTCTTACACGTGTGTTGATATACGTGCTGCTAGCAGGGGATGACCTTTGATCGCGATTAGTTGTACGCACCCCTACGTGCAAGAGACCAACATCTCAACCGGAACACTCAAGGAGGATCGAATATTGGATTCACAAACGGAGAAACAAGGAACTAAAGGTCAGAAGCCGGGACTCGAAAGGACAAAGGTCACTCCAGCATTGACCAGATTACGACTGCAGGGGATACCAAGCTCAAAGGTCACGTGGGCATCGGCGAATGGGGACACAGGACAACGGAGCAACCAATGGAAACGCCTGACCGAACAACTAATCGCTATCAAAGGTCATCCCCTATTAGCAGCACGTAACACGTAAGACTACTCAACGCACAACCACTAACCCACCGATACGCGCCACTACGCTCCCCACTAATGCACTGATGATGTCACCACGATTGGTGATGAAACGTTTGCAGTCAAATTACCCATCTTAGCAAACAAGCCAAAAAATAACGTTTTAAGCGGGAATCCTCGACCCGACTGGTGGATCGATCGAGCGACACAACCGGCACAGTTAATGGGTCATCGTTCGATCTATTCTGACAGACCAAACGCATCGCTCAAGCAAGAACACGGTCGCTTGACTAACCTCAGACGTCCGCAGTCCAACCCCCGGTATGGCACTGTTAGTGAGTGTTAATTAGAGCGAAACTCGAGTCCAGTGTTTCCTCGCTTTGGTATGAATTTATGGGTTTAATTGTACCAGAAGAGGTGGCTCGTTAAAAGGAGTTATATAGATGTGAATTCAAACAACAGAGAGATACCAGCGCTCCACCGAGGCTATGCAACGATAAAGAAACCTACCTTCTTTAGAATCAGCTTTGGGCCGTTTTACACACACTTCAGCCGAAGCAGTACGCGGGTCTGGTCGATGGGATGTGGAACTGACTGCAGGAGAGATTGGTTCAATGTTGGCCACTTGCGCCTCGGTTGCCTCGTCTATCAAAACCCCACTCCTGCCAGTTCGAACTAGATCATTTGCCACGGGAATTTCTGTGACCGAAACTCCAGCCTGACGGTCATCTAACACGGTCGATCCATCGGGTACATGATGATTCAGACTGGTTGATCTCAGAGTTTGTGTTGTGGAAGGCTTGCAGGATGGTGTGAACTGCCCACTAGGTGTCACATCACCTTGGTTCGACTGACAGCTTGGAAGGGGTGAATGTAGCTGACATGTGTCCACCTTCCGATCAACGCCGATCTGCTGAGTTTCGGAATCGAGCATTGGTTGTGTCTGCGACGTAGCTGCCCCGCCACCAGTTGCCACGCCAAGTAATGCTAGGTTTTTGAGCAACTCACACCCGATCGCACCACAGCCAACCTATCGGGGCAGGGAAGGGCATAAATTTTGGACGGGATAAACGAGCTAACTATGCATCGGTAGGGGAATCGCCTGAACACAAGACATGGGTAAACTATCTCACCTTGACACTAGCTTCTGTGCATCAACATCATCATCAAAGACAGCAACATCAGTGTTGGCACTGATGCTTCACTGCTGCTTCCGCAGAGGCCATGTCTCGCACCCATACAACAACACGGCCCTTACTATAGCCTGGTACACACAGCCCTAAGATCCAGTGAGATGCCTTTTGACACCAAAAGTGATGCAAATTAGCAAACGAGATTCGAGCCTTTGAGATTCTTACACTGACACATCAGACACACTTCCGTCAGGGTAATACAACTACGAAGATACGTAAAGTTTTCCACAATCTCCAGTGGTTCTCCTTGAATTTTAAGGGATATGTGCGCACGTTCTGAAGCATGACTTTGCACTCTGAAGGTGCGAGGGGCATCTTCGGTGCATCTTGTCGGCAAAATAATTCAGTTCAGGTGGCAGCGTTGTGGGAGTTAGTTAGAGGTCGTCTGAACGACTGCGCTTTCAGATGTTGTATGCCGTGCGACGGTATACAATGCGTCGTGTGCGTGCCACGTACAGCCAAGGAGTGATAAATGAAACAGTCTTACCATCTTGGCGAATGCGACGGAAGATGGACACGGAATACCAGTCCCGCATTCGGTCGTCACGGCTGTACAGTACTTGTAGCTACCCTTTCGCCACATACATGACTGTACAGGTCACCGCCACTCGCTAGATCACGAGATCTATCTTTTTTCCTTGCACTCACAAATCACGCCACACAACCGTGACTCACTTGACTACACAGCTCACAGTCAAGCCCTTGATCTCAAGACTCGTCTTCCCTTACACATATAAGTCACGACACATAAGAGTGACTCATCTGACATACTGCCTACCGTCCGATGAGGTAGCAACAAGTCATTTGCTGACACCCACACACATGCAGACGTTCCTACATATAAGATAACAGCACTGTAGCACAACTCAACAGAGCTTCGCACTTCGCCCAAGTCAGAGAAGAGCCGCTCAGGACCTACGGCGCTTCACGCACGGATATTCAGAAACACGTGTGGCTGCTACAACAGCGAAGAAGACACGAAAACTGCATCCGGATTTACAACAGGATTTATCAAACTGTACCTGCCAAAACGATAAGTCCTTTGTTTGCATACATATTTATTTTAATAGTTTTACTCAACAAGCGGACATTGTTAGTGCTCCCCGTTTTCTCGTTCGTATAAACTAGTTTTGGGTTCCGTTAGAGCATTAACATACTCTCCCTCTCCATCTAGTACAACCTCTGGGAGGCTAAACAGATTTTGTGGACTCGGTTGTAGTAAAGAGGGACGAATGGCCAGACGCTCGCCAGTGTTACATCACAAAGAGACAGAGAGAGAGGGAGGAAAAGAGACTTGAGATAGGGACGGCCGTTAGGCGGAGCGGAGGCGAGTTGCTTATCATCCGAATTCGAGATGAAACCACTTAGTGAGGTAGTAAAACGTTTAGCGCCATGCAAGGACCGTGTCTTGACTATAAGACTTTGAGACCAACTTTCGAGTGTGCTTGTTACCTGTTGTGTAACAAGAACTAGTTCGTCTTTTTATACCACAAATGAATTCTATTGGTGTCTGTGTCCTATCAGAATGTACGGTCGAAAGACCCTTTGAGGCCACTATACTTGGCAGCAGTGCTCAACAATGACGTCCTGATACCGTGCGACCATTTCTCTAAAGAAAAGAATAAAAGTGGATAGGGAAGCGATCTAGCGCTACCCTACCCCAATCATTCAAAAGTGCCTACACCTCCATTCATTCAGGTGGATCTCATCCTGGAAGTCGAGTCGCACTGACAGCACACAAAATTTTCGTAATCTTTAACTCCACCGTGTTGGAGTGGACACAGAACGTTCCACAAGGTAAGATTTTCGTGATGGACCCAGAAGCGCCAGGCTGAATTCTGATTGGCTGACATTCTGACCAATCAGGACACGCCAGCTTCCGGCCTGCTACCAGTGCGCGACAGAGCCGTCCAATCATGTGCTGCCAGGTAATGGAACCAAATCAGACCAACTGGCGGGTGAAATTAACCGGCACTGGATACATGTATCACACTAGATAAACAAGAAACCGGTGGACTTACCATAAACGCACTCAAATTTTTCAGCCGCTGAAGGTTTTCAGACCCGATGCAGATGGCCAGCGGTCCGTAGCGCGAATGCAGACTACACAGGGAGATGAAAAGTAATAGATGAAAGTTTTAAACGACGAATATCACGGAACGGGAACCTATAATCACCAAATAGTAAAGATGCCCGTCTGGTTTTGAAGGACACGAATGCTCTCAACGAATAACAGTGAGAGTTTCCGGAACCTCATCGATACTCACAGTTCAGCAACTTCCAAACATCCCCCTGCAAATCCGACTGATAAAAACAGAATAACCCATTTTGGCTTTACGTCAGCAAGGCGTCCACGTTCCAGTCGGTTAACCGATGCTTTTATCACGTTACGATGGTTCGATAGGAATCTGAAGATATCCTGAAATTTCAGGGGATACACCAAAGTCGTGTGGGAGCATTTGTTAAATCCCGTCTGATTTGGGCCCAAGTAGGACGCAATATTGACGAAACTCGATGACTGTGCCTGACTGATGAGTCTCAAGAAGGAAGGTCGCAAGCTATTGAAGTGTTTTCGACAACCTCATGAATAGTGCATTGTTACGTCTAGACAACATGGTGTATTGAACCTCTGCAACTAATTTTAGTTCGGACTCACAGTCGTTTCAGTAGTCCGATTTCAGATGGCTGACTCATCTTGAACCCGAATCTTTGCGCGTAAGCTTCTCCGTGAGGCAATATGTTGTGGCGCCTAAGAACGGGTTAGTACAGGGTTGCAAGACCTTTGGAGCTAGAAAGTTAGCACGGGGACACTGAGAAAGAACATTTTTATCACCGTTGGTCAAGCGCGAAGCACTTTTCGCCACTGCCCTAGCTGCCCACCATCCCTGTCGTGTGGGAGGAGTGCGAAAACTGGTGAGATTCACCATTCCGACGTACTTTCATTCAAAACTCGATGTGGGCAAATAGTAAGAATGCCTTCGCTGTGGTGCGTGGCGGCCATACCATGTGGGTTTACACCAAGATGCCTAAATAAGGAAAGGGTGTGTGGTAAACTATGGTAATGGTGCTCCGGTGGCGAACCTAGAAAGTTTTCAGCCACATAAATTGAAATACGAGGCAAGAAAAGACTGATTTCGACTAACATGAACTACACTCACTCCGTGTTTGTTCTTGTGGACACTGAGGTTGAGGGTATGACGGATTCACAGTGCATGTAAAGCTGCAAAAAGAGTGGAGTTTTTAGCAAGACACTGTTTTTCCGAGCAGAAGATTCGGAGAGAGAAAAACACACGAAAGAAGACAAATGACCAAAGGAGCTTGGGGAATTTCGATTCCTCTGAGGGTTGTTCTTCTTCGGAGGATATGTGTCGCAGTGGAAAGCTGCACAAAATTACATGACTTCACGAAGGTGATCTCACAATGACCTTTGTAAGGATGTGTGATTCTTTAACGCATTGTTCTCTCATGTTTAGACATCGGGGGTTTCCGCACGTCAGTTACAGGCGACTACTCAGTTTGGGGTTCTTCACTCGTAGGAACTTCACACACTGGTGGCTAA